CTGCATGATTTACCCTTATGATGCCTATTGTGACATTCGGAAAGTAATGATCATATGATACTCTGTGTGGATAGTGCAACAGAAAAGCCTAACACTTTTTACTAACACTTTTTATATGGTATTCAAAGAGGCTGGTTGGCTTTGTGTTACTTTTTGTTCATTTTGTTATTTGGCCCCGCATTTTACTTTGATTGTAGACAGAAAAAAAAGAGATGTGTGGACACTCTCCATTATCATTTCATTTGTTTCTTACCCTGTTATTTTTTTGTCTTTTTCAAGAAAATGGAATGACACTGGAAATATTATATACTTTTGTTGTTGTCATGCATCACCATTAAGCGTACCTCATTGCCACCAGCACTTCCTTGAAATCAGAAGTAGGTGGAGTGGCTGTGCCACTTCATTTATCATTTTAGGTTGAGGGTTTCAATTAGGTTTCTCAACTCAAGAAGACTCCCTTCTTTTAGGCCTCCCATGCAGGATTACTGCCACCCTCTGTGTTTTCTGACACTATGAAAGGATTGTGGCTTGGCTGGTAGAAACAGAGCTTTCTTTTTAAGTTCCAGCACAGGGGGAACTCACACTTTTCTCTTTTAGATGGCATCTTTTCTTCCACTTGACATCCTTTGCTGTTAGTAACCATGATCAGTTTGGCATGGACACCTGAAACACAGTCTTAGGAATCTTCATGGAGAAATAATGAGCTTTCCCACGGCACTTCCAACCAAATCGTCCATCATTTGTAGGCATTGCAAAGTTGTAGAGAACGCCTATGTGAGTTATCTTATGATTGTAGAGAATAAAAAAATCTATAAAATATTATTAGAAAAAACTGTTACATTTAAATTACTTTAACCATTATAATATTTTATTATTTTATTTTGATGTTTTAACTTTTAATATGCATTTATTTATTCCTGAGAAACAAAGCTTCTTCTTTTTTCTTCTTCGTCTTCTCACAGTATTTTTATTTATAACAATAAAAAAGTATTTTTTAAACTATATATATATATATATATATATATATATATATATAGACAAAAATATATAAATAAATAAATAATTAAATTTACACATATAAAATATTATTAGAAAAAACTGTTACATTTAAATTACTTTAACCATTATAATATTTTATTATTTTATTTTGATGTTTTAACTTTTAATATGCATTTATTTATTCCTGAGAAACAAAGCTTCTTATTTTTTCTTCTTCGTCTTCTCACAGTATTTTTATTTATAACAATAAAAAAGTATTTTTTAAACTATATATATATATATATATATATATATATGGACAAAAATAAATAAATAAATTAATTAATTAATTTCATCAATTAAAAAAAAAAAAAATTGCAAGTTAGGTTCAAAATGTGCTGTGAAATATCATGTGGCAGTGCAACTTTTTTTTATTTTCACCTGGACCTTTGGTTGATGGCTTTGACAGGACTGTGGGCGTCTCCATGGAAACCCAGTCTCTGTGTGCCGATAAATCTCCAGGAGTGGAGTGTGTCTCCAATTAGACCAGAGTTGTCAGATGGACTTGGGAGGACTTTGCATGAGTTGTAGTTGTGGTAACATTTGAATCAATATGTGAATCTGTCTGTCTGACTCTTAAATATTATATCTTAAAACTTAGCCAAGTTTTACACAAAAAAGTAAAAAAGTGGAATACTTCTTATTAAAGATAATAATATCACTCCCTTCTGGGGGCTCATAACAACTTCTGTGATTTTTTTTCAGCTTGGCCCAATCGTTAACACAAATTATGTTTTTTAAAGTGATGAAAGGATTTTTTTGACGTTTTGATGGAATTAAATATCAAACATAAAATGAGGGGAAAAAGGTAAAAATCTTAGGTTAAAAGCAAATGGTCCATGACAAGACAAGCCTGATTTAAGGACAAACTGTTTTACATCATTTTTACTCTATGTGCTTTGATATGGACCCAGCTGGTACAACCAGTAAACAGCCTTGGACAGTTAAAGCATTACATAGAATGTCATGTATTTGCTAGATAGAAGTCATGGTCAGTATTGACCAGATCATGATAATGATCAAAAAGCCAGCCAAATCAATGCCATGCATGGGCTCAGAAAGATAGACTTCATCTCCGTATGTTACATAGAACAAGGAAGGAGGTGGTATTCACAAGAAATCCAGTCTTGACTGACTTTCTATTGCTACCATTTTTTACACTTTTGTTGTCATAATACTATTAAAAACTTCCCCACTGTCCTCATGAAATGACTGTAGTGGGAGTGTTGTGGTGTTTTATTGTTCTCACATTATTATAGAACAGAGAATACCAGATCTGGGGTTCATTTATAAATGTTAGTGCTCCATTTGTCTTGCTGACGCTGTTATTGACACTGACAGTGTTATTCAAGAGAAGGTAAGTCTCGTTGGGGATTGATTGTGTGGTTATGAGTGATACTAGTGTCAGGGAATTCCCTCACTGCAGCACTGAACTCCTTTATAGAAAAACAGGATTGTTCAGTATAAGTTTTGAATCTGATGCAGCAGGATTAAATTATTTACTTAGTAATAATGATTCGTTATTTATTATTCTGTCGTTATTCATTTTTTATAAGTTGTTCCAAACCTGTATGTACTTTTATTCATTTTTTCTTCAGCACAAAAAGTGCATTTTTGAAGCATATTTTGACATTAAATGGGGCGGAGACCATAAAAAGCATCATAACATTATTATTATTATTTATTTTATTTTTTTACTAATCTACTTTGGCTTTTGTTTTTTGAGAGTTTTACTGAATTTTTCTGATTTTTTGAGCTGACTAGTCAAATAATTTGAGTATTGACACTGACAGTGTTATTCAAGAGAAGGTAAGTCTCGTTGGGGGTTGATTGTGTGGTTATGAGTGATACTAGTGTCAGGGAATTCCCTCACTGCAGCACTGAACTCCTTTATAGAAAAACAGGATTGTTCAGTATAAGTTTTGAATCTGATGCAGCAGGATTAAATTATTTACTTAGTAATAATGATTTGTTATTTATTATTCTGTCGTTATTCATTTTTTATAAGTTGTTCCAAACCTGTATGTACTTTTATTCATTTTTTCTTCAGCACAAAAAGTGCATTTTTGAAGCATATTTTGACATTAAATGGGGCGGAGACCATAAAAAGCATCATAACATTATTATTATTATTTATTTTATTTTTTTACTAATCTACTTTGGCTTTTGTTTTTTGAGAGTTTTACTGAATTTTTCTGATTTTTTGAGCTGACTAGTCAAATAATTTGATTAAAGAACACATTTTTCTGATTTTTGTACACTGAAGTTAAACTGCCTCAAATAACTATTTGTTGTCAATTTGAGCATCACTTCTCATTCATTCGTTCGTTCATTCATAAATAAATAAATACATAAATAATAATTCAGCTGATTCATTTAAACAGGTGATTCATTCATAAATGATGCAAGTGACTGTCTTTATGAATTGGTCTCTGAATCATTGGCTCACTTGATTCATTCAAAACCGCAGTTCATTCAGTACTGAAACACTGCAATGTGACAGCCCTAATGAATACCATGATAATGATTATAGTGTTAATGTACCTTGGTATTTGCATGGGCAACCTTCTGAAATACTTGATTCTGATTGGTCAATAGCAGCATTCTGCAGTCATATAATTTTATAGTCTGAGGCAACTGATTCCCAACATAGCTGTCATAGTTTCTTACCAGAATCTTTTAATCTTTTCTTCATGCCAAGGCCTTGCTGGAGTTTGCTTTCTGATAATCATAGTCTTGACTGTACATTTATCCCTAATGTATCATCTGAACTTTCTGAACTCTGTTTAGTGGAGAGTGTTAGATTGAATGCCATTTCTCTTGTTTCTGCAATGAAGCGTAATGCAACATTTGCTGGCAATATAAACTGTTAGCATTAGCTTTTCCTTGCAAAATCATTTCAATCTTCTGTCCCAATGTCATGTTTTTCATTATCATCAACCCAGTCTAAGCTGAATTTACTTAAGATCACTTTCTATGTTCTCCTTTAAAAGTCAACTATGCTTTGTTTTGAATAAACCTCTCTTAATGTAATCTAGTGTTTTTCTGTGCATCAGCTTTGGGAATAACTGTGATAAATGTTAAAAAAATGGGGTCCTAAGCTTTATCAGCTGTATAGGCTGAGTTTGGTCAAGGAACTCGAGTTAGTCCTTTGTTGTACTATGGTAATTACTTAGCGTGGGTGTCCTTGAAAATACATTACCCTGGGAGAACGGTCCCAGCAGAGCCCTCCAGCAGAAAGTGAAAACCAACACTGTTTTATAGGCCCTTTGAGAGCTTAAAGCTTGACTATTGAATGAGTCACTATACATCACATAAAATGTTTCTTAACAGCGCAGGCTTTATTAGGAATGTGTAGATCTAATCGTTTAGACAAATGTGGTAAATTGCCAGAAATGTCTGCAATGCAAATAATCTCTTCTGTCAACGTAGATAGGCAATGTTAGTTTTACCCTGTCCAAATGCATGCATGTACTTAATACATTTGATTATGTGGTGCAGTGTTAAACTAAGATGTGCACTTGTCACTCAAGACAAGTCAGACGAGACTTCAGACATTGTATACATACAGAAATGTGGCAATACCATGGAACAGTAATGGCATCTGATGGTAATACCTTTCTGATTTTATATAAATGCACTGTTACTCACTATAGTATTCATGTACATGGTACATAAAACAAACAAGCAAACAAACATGATATGGATGTCTTTGACTGTTGTGAGTGGCCCCTTACTTGTTCATAATTCTGAAAGCAACAAACAAACCCAGCAGTTTTTCTGACCCATTGGTTTAGAGATGAACAAACTTCGGCTCGATCATGCTTGTGTTCATCACACATTTTCATTAAATGTTCCAAATGACCTACGTTGCCAGATTTGCTTTATATATTCTGCTCAGTGAAAATGTGATAAAGTCTTTTGCACAATCTATCTTCATCTATGACTCTTCTCATACACAGGTGACCACCCTGGTCAACACCAGTAACAAAGGTCCATCCAGTAAGAAAAAGGGACGCTCCAAGAAAGCTCACGTGCTGGCTGTGTCCGTGGAGCAGGCTACACAGAACTTTCTAGAAAAGGGCGAGCAGATTGCTAAGGACAGCCAGGACCTGAAGGAGGAGCTTATCGCAGCTGTAGAGGACGTTCGCAAGCAAGGTGAGCAGCTTGTTATCACCCTGAGGTACTGTCCCAAACAAAATCTGCTGCTTATTTGTTCCGGCGTCCCATCAAGCAACCAAACATATATTAAGGGTTTTCTTTTTTTTAACTCCAATGTGTGGCATAGTGGCCAATGCTCTGTCTATTAGTCATGTTTGGCTTCTTGAGAGAGTAGAGAAGACTTTTAGGGTCATGTGGGAACCAATGAGGCACACTATCTGTCACATTATCTGACCCTAAAAGACATTAATGTGTTTTTGCTGAGTCTTGCTGAGGGCTGTCGGCTTTTAGCCGTGTGCTGCAGTTTGGAGACAGCTAAGCTAAAGTTTTCGTTTCCTTTTTCACCTATAAGTCTTGCCTATTATGTAACTTATCTGGCAGCACATTACACACTCTTTTCTCTTACTATACACATGACTTCCATGACTTTCATGCTCATTGGTTTGGACTGAAGTTAGTGTTTGCTCAGCCAAATTACCTCTATGAAAATAGCAAACAGTTAATGATGGTGTTTCACAGAGCATTCATCATCCCATAAACACAGCCGAAGAGCAATTATGAGGTTGCGGAGAAGAGAAAAAAGACACTTTTAAATCCCAAAAGCTGAAATGTATTAGCTGTCATTGTACCGTATTAATAATAATAATCTGTTTTCTCTTTTTGTGTTTTTTTTTAGGACTCTTTGATGAGGTAATACATGTGAAATCTTTATTTAATTTGTTTAGTTTGGTGGTGGATTAAATTACTTGTTAATATAATATTAATGGGAGTCTGGAATGATTCTCTGTCTCTTTCTGGGACTTTAAATATGAACTAATTCAGAGGAAAACAAAGAAGAAAATCAGTGTATGAGGACTATACAGCAGTCATGGGAAACCTGGAAATATTGGGACATTTTAAAATAAAGATTTACAGGCCTGTTAAAGTCATGGAAATATAATAATATAATTATAATATTATACTACTGTTTTTGTAGTCTTGGTAAGAGCACATTTTAAAAATCTTACATAAGGTAGTATATATTTTTCCACAGGTCCACAGTGAGATATCCCTGTTCACTGGGTTTTTTGGTTAAAATACACAAGCATTCTCAGGTACTGCAGGGAAGGGACTGCAGCACTGACAGATGAGACTGAGCCAAGCCCCGGCTGCAGGAGCAGAATAAAGTGTGTTAAAATTATCTGCGTGGACCATTAGCAAGCTGACCTTTAACTGGGATGAGGTTAATGAACACAGGTTGGACATAATGGTCCAAGTGGCTTACCACTCCCAAGGCTGACTGTCTGTTACTCAGTGTGAAACAGGGGTTAAAGGACAAAGAAAATACTTAAAATAGAAAGTGGAAGTCAGTCTTTTTGATCTAATTCTCACTTGTGTACCACAGTTATTGATTTATTAATTTAATGACAATGAAAAATGACTAAGTGAAACTATCAAACACAAGACGATTAAAGGATTAGTTCACTTCCAGAATAAAAAAATAATTTCTTTATAATTTACTCACCCCTATGTCATCCAATGTTCATGTCTTTATTTCTTCAGTCGAAAATTAATAATACGTTTTGAGGAAAACATTCCAAGATTTTTCTCCATATAGTGGCTTCAATGGTGGTCAATGGGTTGAAGGTCTAAATTGCAGTTTCAATGTAGCTTCAAAGGGCTCTACATGATCTCAGCCGAGGAATAAGGGTCTTATCTAGCGAAACAATTGGTTATTTTCTAAAAAAAAAAAGAATGTGTCTTTTAACAAAATGCACAAATGCTCGTCTTGCACTAGCTCGACCTACACGTGACATAGGCGGAAGCACCAACCCAGTGTTTACAAAGAAAATGTGCAAAGAAAGTCAAACACTCTTTACAAAAAAACAACAACATAAAAACGATGTCAGATAATTTTGAAGTTGGGGGGAAGTCAGATCATTTTGAAGTTTTTCGCCCTACCCTACCTTTTTGAATCAAAGCACACAGATGAAGAACTAACTGCACGTGACTTTTACAACATGATTTCACAATGTGTGAAGATGAGCATTTGTGATTAAAAGTATAAAAATGTATTATTTTATATTTTTTTTAGAAAATGGCTGATCGTTTCGCTAGATAAGACCCTTATTCCTCGGCTGGGATCGTGCAGAGCCCTTTGAAGCTGCATTGAACCTGCAATTTTGACCTTTTTACTCATTGGTCCCTGTTAAAGTCCACTATATGGAGAAAAATCCTGGAATGTTTTCCTCAAAAACCTTAATTTCTTTTCGACTGAAGAAAGAAACACATGAGCATCTTGGATGACATGGGGGTGAATAAATTGTCAGGAAATTTTTATTCTGGAAGTGAGGTTTGTTCACATGATTTAATAATATACTTTACTATATTTCTCTTAGTGTTTCAGAAGGTCAAGTATGGAGTCAAAAGACAATGCAGAAGATACACTGCTGAATGAAAAAAGACTGTAGTGGTTTTCCAACAAGGTTGCAGTAATGAGAGCTGTGGGTCATCTCAGGAATCAATAGGCTATTCAGATAATGCTATCCATTTTAAGTTGCTCTTTCAAGGTCCATAAAACGTGAGAAATCTGTTAATATTCCCATTCATCTCAACATTTTATCAGTCACTGTGTTTTTGTTTTGATTTTGTTTTAAATTATGAAAAACGTCTCAAGTTACTTATGTAACCATGGTTCCCTGAGTAGGGAACGAGACACTGCGTCCTCTAGGGGTCGCTATGGGAAATGCCTCGTCATGACCCGTGTCTGAAGCATACATTGAAAAAACACCAACTCGTTGGCCGGCGACAGCCATGACGTCACTATCGGTGCGACTATAGTATAAATGAGGTCCTGAATCGCGGGAAGCAGACAGCTGCCTCTTTTTCCTCGAAAAGAGAGACAAACGAGAGATTTTTTCCCTGGAAAAAATGCTCGCAGTGCACGCCGATTGCCCCCTTGGAGACATCGCGTGCGTGCTCTTTGCCCAAACAAACAACGCATAGATCGTGTGTGTCATCAGATGTTAAACAACGTCAACACAGATGCACACATCCTTAAATGCTTTGCTAGTGCTCGCCATAATGAGATAAATAGAGATCGCTCTTACCACAGAAATGCACGCTTCAAACAAAACAGTCAATGAAGACGAAGAAGAAAATGATGTGTAGCTCCCGGCACCTATTTATACTATAGTCGCACCGGTAGTGACGCCATGGCTGTCGCCGGCCAACGAGTTGGTGTTTTTTCAATGTATGCTTCAGACACGGGTCACGGCGAGGCGTTCCCCATAGCAACCCCTAGAGGACGCAGTTCGAAGTTCCCATGAAAGGGAACCGATGACCCATTCATCTCAACATTTTATCAGTCACTGTGTGTTTTTGTTTTGTTTTTTGTTTTTGTTTTAAATGATGAAAAACTGATGACCCATTCATCTCAACATTTTATCACTCACTGTGTTTTTGTTTAGTTTAGTTTTTTTGGTTTTGTTTTAAATGTTGAGAAACTGATGACCCATTCATCTCAACATTTTATCAGTCACTGTGTTTTAGTTTAGTTTAGGGTTTTGGCACAAACTCACTGAATACTGGTGGGCTCATGATAATTTTCATAGTCTTAATTTGCTATCAAGCTGAAGCTGAAGTAGTGGCAATCCCAATGGATGTAGTTGTGTCATCAGTTTATCTTCATTTAACAAATCTAATTATTGTTCATATACAGTGGGGCAAAAAAGTATTTAGTCAGCCACCAATTGTGCAAGTTCTCCCACTTAAAAAGATGAGAGAGGCCTGTAATTTTCATCATTGGTATTAAGAAAACATTGACCTCTTTCACATTCTCTCTCTGGTCAAAAATAATTAGCATTGATATCTCTGTCTGACTATAGTTACCTACAGTACCTCTCTTTACAGAGTGCAAGTATGTGTGTGTGTCTAAAACCTTCAAATTCTCTCTTATCAGGCAGCATCTGGAAGTAGGCAGGCTGTCAGCATTGTGTCTACACAAAGATGATGTCTACTCCATCTGGTTTATTTAAGTCAGCATAGATGAATTCACTGCCCTTGATACCACACAGTCCTGTCTGTTGAGTACTTGGTAGAAACTTATGATTTAGTTTCTCGGGAGAAATAAGCATTGCGCTCATTAAATATTGACTTGGTTATCTCTAACACTCACTTTCATTTATTCTGGGTCATCGGATGTGGTATTACAGTCTGGTACTTTGAAAGCAGGTTTAAAACAGTTTTTAGCTTTTGATTTCTATGCCATTAGCATGACAAAACATTGCAAAAAATAAGGATTGCTTCACATAGCTTGGATGAGAATTTGCCTGAATGTGTCTGTTCTTTTGACTTGGTTAAATTATACTGGGGGTAAGCAAAAAAAAAAGAGCTAGGATGGAAATAAGATTATAACATTCTGTGGTAATCCGTGAAGGTAGAGCTGCCACAACAATGCACAGAGCCAGAGGACAGTGCTGACATTTCCCCTGGAAGTGGAGGGGCAGAAGCAAGGCTCTGTTAAGAATAGCTGGCATTCTTTCATTTCAGTTCACTGTGAGAGAAACAGCAGAACACGCACATACACTAAAGTGCAGCCATATTTATTATGTGCATGCAAGTGTTCACCCACACAGAGCCGGTACAGGCTTAAAAACAAATATTCTCTCTTTCCCTAGACTCTGGGAAGTCAGTTTGCCACAATCTTTCTTCTCTGTATATCATTCTCAGATTCAGTGACATTTGCTAATGTCTCAGCCGGGCTTTTTGTAAGCTTTCATTAATCAACTCTGTCCCGCCTGCGGCTCCTGTTCAGATGGAAGGTGGAAGTCCACTTACTGTAGGGTCATTAATAGATTCTGTCAATGAACCTTGAGACAAATTGCTCATTTTTACTTCAGCAAGCATGCCACAGTAACATTCTGGCAGTCTGAATCAGGCTTTTTTTCTCATAAGTATGACACATAAATACATAGAAAGTGCTACTTTTGAATACATAAAAGTTCAGGAGGTGCATGGCCATCTAATACTGTCAATCAAAATGAAAGGGTATTAAAAAGCTGCTTACATCACTCCTGTACCAGTCTACAAATGGCTTTTTTATTCTAGACTTTATTTTCTGCATATTGATTTCTGCTTTTGTTGTTAAAGTTCTAAAAAAGTTAGAATTGGAAAATTGACTTAACTGTATTTCAGTGAGTGGTTGACATAAAACTTGCACAATGTTTTCCAGACACCAGCAACCCCCTGTACACTGGTTTCTGAAGTGTGCTGTTTCACTAATGAACACTCTTGGCAAACTTGCCTGTACTCGCAGTTTATTTCACTGGTAAACAGATGCACAACTATTAATAAACTATTGACATGTCCATGCAGCTTTAGTGAGTTCCGAATTAAAAATGCTAGACATGCACAATGGATTTGCTGTGTGGTGGAACTCTAAACATATGTTGTTTGCTTTTGTCTTGGTTGTTTTGTGTCTCTGTGTAGGTGAGACGATGCGCGTGGCCTCCTCAGAGTTTGCGGATGACCCCTGTTCCTCTGTGAAACGTGGCACCATGGTCCGTGCCGCCCGTGCCCTCCTTTCTGCTGTCACTCGCCTCCTCATCCTGGCTGACATGGCTGACGTCATGAGGCTCCTGGCTCACCTCAAGATCGTATGTTCGTTTCTTATTCAATTCTCACTGGCCATTTTTCCACAGTTGCAGTTCATTTGTGAAATTAATCACAGTTTATTTGTCATTTAATAATAGTATTTTATTTTATTTTATTTGTTTGTTTACCGTGTTTACCTCCCTACTCTCTACTAACCACTTCAAACATCATTACTTCTTAACATTTACACTTTTATATACATTAGTTAACCAAATTTTTGTTGCCATTGAGAGCTGCCTCATGGTGAATTCATCATCACCTTTTATTTCCCTTTTTCGTTTTTTTGAGTGTTCAAAGCTTCGTCGCTGCAACTGGTCTTCACAGCTGGTCACCGTCCACCGGGTCAGAACAAGTCAGACCCGCCTCTCAATTGTTTCGATATCCAAGGAGACCCATTTCAAGGGCACAGGAAGTTATATTTATTATAGTACAAAGAAACTATCTTTATCTCAAGTCCTGCTGTTTATTTGCATAGCGCATTTTGCTGAAGCAAAAACCTCCTGGCATAACTTTGCAACAGACTATTAAAATGCAAAAATAACATTCTCAAATATTCACATCATTCACTTGCTTCTGGTCATCAATTAGGTTCCATATTTTGCATTTATATTTATGGTTTAGATAAGGCTATTTTCAGAGTGGCAGAATTTAGGCTTTTTGCTCTTGTACCTTCATTTTCACACCCATAATCCTTTGCTTCTAGTTGCACTATTCTGTTTTCTTTCAATTTGTATTCCCCACTGGCAACAAAAATAATTCTTCTTCTTTTTTTTAAAGTTTAGGGATTTACAATGCTTTTTTGTTTACCAGCGGCCTTTCTGTTATATAATCACTAAACAAATTTGAAAACTAAGATCTATGAAACTTATTGGTTGCGAAAGGAGAACTTTTAGAGCGTAGGATGAGGCTGAGAAACTTTTAGATGTCCCACAAGGGACAAAGCACCTCCTTGTTCTTCTGCTAGTCTCATTACGGAGAGTGAAAACTGTCAGAATTATACGTGCCCCAGGAGAGCCAATAATAAGCACTACAAACGTTAACTGTCACTCAACCACATCAGTTAAAGTAACCCTAACCCTAACCCTAACAGTTGGATGTTTGTATGTGTGTGCGTGTTGATTTACAGGTGGAAGAAGCTCTAGAAGCCGTCAAGAATGCCACCAATGAGCAGGACTTGGCCAATCGCTTTAAGGAGTTTGGGAAAGAGATGGTCAAACTCAACTATGTTGCTGCTCGCAGACAGCAGGTATTATTAAATATCACAATTTTTATCTATCTATCTTTCTATCTATAATATAAGCAGTAAGGTACAAGAGGCCATGTGTTGTGTAAGTCTTGGCTGAAGGGCGTTAATAGGCACGACGGGAAGTGGAATGCCTGCAACCCCTTCCGCTGTGACTTATTCACAATACAGCACGGCAGCTTGTACCTTACTGCTTTTATAAAATGGTTACCAAACAATCCAAACCAAAAATTTTATTGATGTTACTTTTTTTTTAAATAAATTTATTAAATGCTATCCTTCCACTAAAAAGTTACTGACAGTGACATTAAATGTAAGTAATTAGTTGTAATACATTTAACAATTGACAGCTGTTACACAATAGAAATGTTAAACGACCAACAGTAATATCCAGGGATGTCGTTGGAGTGTGTGTGTGTGTGTGTGTGTGTGTGTGTGTGTATACATATATATCTTGCCGCCATGTGGTCACGTGGTTCATGTATCGCTCAATAGTATCGCCGTCAACCTGTTTGAGTGGGTTAAAGCGGGACAGATAGCAGCAACCACTCTATTTGCCTCAATTTTCGGTAAATATAAACACGGAATGTTGTTACACTGACTATAGAAAAAATAAATTTATTAAATGCTATCCTTCCACTAAAAAGTTACTGACAGTGACAGTAAATGTAAGTAATTAGTTGTAATACATTTAACAATTGACAGCTGTTACACAATAGAAATGTTAAACGACCAACAGTAATATCCAGGGATGTCGTTGGAGTGTGTGTGTGTGTGTGTGTGTGTATACATATATATCTTGCCGCCATGTGGTCACGTGGTTCATGTATCGCTCAATAGTATCGCCGTCAACCTGTTTGAGTGGGTTAAAGCGGGACAGATAGCAGCAACCACTCTATTTGCCTCAATTTTCGGTAAATATAAACACGGAATGTTGTTACACTGACTATAGAAGCATTAATAATGTTTTTCTTTGTTTCACTTTGGAGGTAAGGCGGATACATTTACATTACTCATGCATTATGCATTATTTTTCTCGTTCTACTGTGGCCATATTTACTCATCCTAATGTTATATTACGTGGCTCACTAAGTATGCACAATAAATTGATATCAATAAATGCCATCAACTGCTCAATATAAACAAAAAAAAGTTTTGTCAGTAATAAAAATGCTACATACTGTATACAAGACAACCAATTGCACTCAATTAAACATTTTATTATATTTCCAGGGAGAGGCTAAATACATTTTTCATTGAATAGGCAGTCTTAATAGAAACTCATTCAGGGTTTAATAATTTGTTTAGCTTTTATATTTTTATGTACACAAATGACTACAATTGATTTGAGGTAAATGTAAGCCATCTGGCTAGGTAGCTAGTTAGTTTTTGCCTATGTTATCTAACTACTATTAGAATTGAACTAGCTATTATATAACAATAAAATGGTCAATGGTCAAATGCACACACAGTTATTTTCAAATTGCCCTGCGTGCAGACTGTTCACATAAAACACAGATGGTTATGTTTTAAATTAATACAAACATTAGCAAGAAAATCGGATGTGTATGAGTATATTAGATCTGTGCATTAGGTCTTAAAGTGACAGGTCTGAAACAGATATCTGTGTGCCAGGAGCTGAAGGACCCTCAATGCAGGGACGAGATGGCGGCAGCTCGAGGGGCTCTTAAGAAGAACGCCACTATGCTCTATACTGCCTCCCAGGCCTTCCTGCGCCACCCCGACGTGGCTGCTACACGTGCCAACCGTGACTATGTCTTCAAACAGGTCCAAGAGGCCATTGGGGGCATCTCCAGCTCTGCTCAGGCCACTTCACCCACCGACGAGAAGCACGGGCACGCTGGCATCGGCGAGCTGGCTGCCGCTCTCAATGAGTTTGATGTGAGTACACTCGGTTCAAATATTATTTATTGCAGCATATTAGGTATGCAGTGGCATCATCTGTAAAGTGATGCAATTTGTTCATCGTTTTTCAATGTTTCAGACTTTCTCCATTTGAAATTTGGTGTGTCTACTTTGATGTAAGCTGTTTCTAAATCGTTGTAGTCCCTGTAACGTGTCAACACCGTGGCTGTTTGGTGCTTTGGAACCAAGTCCTGCCCCAAACTCACAACACTGGCAAAACAAAAAACACAACTAAACAAATGTAGATGCAGAACACATATTTAAAATGTATACTTCCAAGCACCATACTCTGTAAATGCAACATTTTGAAAGTAACCATATTGTACCAATATTGTTGTGTAATATAACAGAATCAGTAGGTCCCTCACTCCACCTCGTATCCTTGTCCTTGTCTGTTATATGCACTACTTTCTTTATATGCTCTATTTTGTTTGCCCTTTAAAACAAGTAGTCTTTCTAAAGGCAATCCAGCAAAAACATTAATGGAAAACCATCTCACTTCCTGTGGGAGGCGATATTTGGAATATTAGGCTGCCATCTAGTGGTTATGAAGATGATCATAAGTACTACTGTTTACAAATGTTACAACCATTTTTGAAATAATGTAGTAAGTAATGCTGTTTGTTTTCAAACTCCTTATAATGTTTGGAATATTATTTGTCTGCCCTCTGTTTCTCTTCACCAAGAATTTTTTTCAAAATTATATGTTTAAATAGTGATTGACAACAGGTGCTGGACATTTCAGGAGAATATTTGACATACTAAATGGTCAAAAGTATGTATGCAAATGGTGTCAAATCTATTTGTACGCTCAGATGAGATAAAGACTCATAGTGTTAGTAGTTTAGAATAAACGGTTTTGCTGTTTATGTTGCCTCGAGGCAATGCTGTGCCACAATGGAAAGATAGTGGTGGGACGATTGATACAGAAGCTCCGATCATGCTCTGACGCAGTTTTCAAAGCACTATTGTATCACACACTGTGCCGAAGCTTGTATCGAAATGACAATACCACGTGATTGATGACGTTTGAAGCTTCGAACGTCATGCAGTATCGGAAGGTCGGGACAGCTGGTTTGAAAAAAATCGCATGACTCTTGTGTTTGACTTTACATTGACTTGGTTGTGTGTGTGTGTGTGTGTGTGTGTGTGTGTGTGTACACTTATTTGGGATTCAGTAGAATAGTTTAGAATAACCTCAACACCAGACAGAAACTGAATGCACGTCACACCTCTATTGCATTTTATCATGTTCTATAGCTGGGGTCTCAGAGACCCCGAACAGCTCACCCAAAATATTTTTGCTACTACTCACGTCAATTATTAATTATAATCACACACTTGTATATTTTATATTATTGATCAATATGTAAATCAGTTGACCGGACTACGCATGACAAGATTAAAAACTTTTTCAAACCATCCTCTGGGTTAAGGCTAGATGGCATACAGCAAAATCTACTGGGCATGCGCACATCAGCGAAATTTTTCTCACACTGTGTACAACAATAATTACTATTTTGGCATTATTGTAAGGGGTATGTTTAGGGTTGGGGTAGGTGTAGACGTTAATAAAACACAATCTAATAGGTAGAAAATTCAATTTATTGTTAGCTTCCGGTTTTTGCTGTATCCCTTCTAGCCACAGCCCATCCTCTGCTCCGCGATGTTTTGTTAGATTTGGTGGAGAAACCAAGTCTGGTTGTCGCTAATGTGCACTGTGTTAAAAGCTTCGAGTAATGAACCGTTTTTCGGCACAGTTTCATGAAAGCCTCAAACGGTTCAGAAAGCCTTGGTTTCCCATCGCTATGGAAATACATTCATCAAGAGAGGCTGTAATTAAAAACAAAACTAAAAAACAACGGAAGTTCCATTTCACTTTAGCACAATGGTGCTTCTAGACAGCAAAGACTAAAGCAGGTCCTCATGTAATATAAAGATGTTTATTCAATACAAAATATGAATGTGATTTTTTTTTTCTGAGTGCAGTTCTCCAGAGTGCACATCACCTGGTGTACCACTAGGACAAGAAACCGTAAACATTTTAACAATTTTATTTTCCACTTTGTACTTGCAAAGTTGAGAGAATGGGTTTATTGCAAAATTATTAGCATTTCAATTATTTGCACTAATGTGAATTAGGTATTTGAGAACATAGTTGCTTTTTCATTCTAAAAACTCTTTTTCTGGGTTGTCTGCATTATCTGTATATCAGTGACACCCAGTGGCTGTTTTTGGGTCACTGTTGTTTTAGTATTATTTTATGTTATATTATATTATAGCATTTAATAATATTTTGATTTAGCTTTTTTATATTTTTGTTTAAATTTTAATTTTAGTGTAAGTTTTAGTAATTTTATTTGCTTTTATGTTATTATTATTATTATTATAATTTTAATATTTCTAATCATCATTTATTTTTAAGTTGTAGTAATTTTAGTGGTTTAACATCTTTTATTTAGTTGTCAATGCAACATTTCTAATTCGTTTTTTTAAGTTGAAGTTTTCCATCTAATTTTAAGAATTTATTTTATTGTATTCAGATTTATTTTAATTAAGATACATATATATTTTTTTGTTAATGTAGAAAATTTAACAGACAACAATATATGTAGGTAAAACACCAAGCCTGATATTATTATAATTTGTCAACACCCGCTAAATATAGATGATTATAACTATAAGATAAAACTTAAGCCTAAATTAACTTAAGTAATAACCTATGTTCTAAAATAATTTCTCCTATTCTATTACATTATGATGTAGTAGCCTATAGTATATACTGCTATACTGTGGCTCTGTCTAAACACTGCTCTGTATATATATAAGTAGTCACATAATGTCTAAAATGCACACTTTTAATAACACAATTTTTTTTTCGTACATTTTCACAATTTTTTCTCCATCTCACCATTCCTTCCCTTCACTCAGTATACTTTGCTTTTTTGAGACTGCTGTTTATTGGTAGTCAGTGTAAATTTAGTTTTTCTCACACCTGCTGGATGGCATTAGACTGTGTTTGTGAGTGATGCATTTGGTTTCTAGAAGAGGAATCACAGCTGGAGGTGCGAGATGGGTGTGAAGTGTAGAGACATCCCGCTAATGAATCTCTGTCTCCCAGACCTCCTGCATTTCTCATGAAGCTCAGACACACTGTTCAGCCAACATTCACACTCTTATTTATCAGAGTGAATATGCATGTGGATAGACATATCCTGACAGAAATAATACATCTGTTTGAAAATTCTGTGTGAAAATTTGTGTCATCTGCTGGAGATTGGTCTGCTTTGATATTCAGTCTGACCTGTTTTGAAGTAAGGTGTGTGTGTGTGTCTGTGTGAAGGGTCAGGTTTTGCCTGTGTTATTGCACGCTGCAATCTGTGACACGCTGTGGAATGCAAAAAACCTGTAAAGAACTACTGTATGCCTGATATTTCATGTTTGCATGATGGTGACAGGCTGGAAGGTGCTGGTATTTTCTTTGCAGCTTTTACAAAACATTTACTGTTAATAGTAGCCCACTACTGGTGTCATAGTCATTTTCATTATGACCTATGAAATACTTTTTATATTTTATATCCATTCTGAAGATATAGGATATGTTTAAGACAACCCTCGTGAAAAATATACTAAAATCAATTTGAAATACATTTATTTCATGCTATGTAGGGCTGCACGATTATGACAAAAATCATAATTGTCGATTATTCCCTTCAAATTGTAATTGCGATTATTAATTACGATTATCACAATTTACATTGAATGATGTTTATACCATTGTTTGATGCAACTGCATGCCATATTTTTATATGAAAATAAGCTGAAAACACTCTAGCTGAAAAACCTTTAGTGCTTTTCTATAGTATTAAGCCTTAAATGTTAACTATACATCGGATTGGTTTCTTCTTTAAATTATTAAAAAGTAAAAATATGAATGGTATTATAATGTTATACTAAAACTAAAATTTAAATAATGGGAAAAACCCTTAAGATAACATGTAGAAAGAAAATAAAAACGCATCTTAAGCACGCAGAATAACATAAGTGGACTTTGAACGGTTAATTGCTGCTTTGAACGATTACGTAATTGTGGCATCCATAATTGTAATCGCGATTAGAAATTTGAT